ACATTAAAATGTCGTTCTTCTTGTGTTCTCCACGTTGCCACAAATCAAGGCTAAAAATCATTTAAACGGTTTCCCCCCCACGGCTGCCACCCACAAAAATTGTCACTTTTGATTTGTTTGCCCTTGATATGGAGGCGAACTTTGAATTTATTTCGCTGGGCGCTTCCTTTTTTCGAATGATTCAAGTGAGGGTCCTTGCGAGTATCCCATTTTGGCGCCGCTTGCATTTCCTTTTGGCATTCGGCATTTCGGCCAGAATGATTTCATGTGAAGCGGTGATTATTTTCACCTAAAATGCGTTGCCGTCTTACCCTCCAAGGATCTCCTTCCCGCCAGTTGCATTTCTACCTCTCACATACACACACACACATATAGCTAACTGGCAGGATATTTATGGGCTTTGAGCGTGTTCCGCCTTTGCCGTGGGCGGTGGTGCACTTTCAATGTTTTTGCGAGTGTCTTTGGCCAGTCGATTCGCTGCCCCGCCCCACTTCAGCCCCCATTGCCACTTGTATTTATGTCTTCGTCTATAAATCCATGTCTTTGAAGCTCCAGCACACACACACACACACACACATACAGACACTCAAACACTCGCATACACATGCGCGTCTTCATGTCAAATCGTAGATTTATAATTTTCGGCTGCGTCGCCAATGCAACTTTCAGGCAGCACATAAAAAATCGAAAGAAACAAGTGAAAATGTTGATGTCTTGGAATTGGACTATAAGATACCTGGTACTTATTTTATATTCTACATAAATTTGTGAGGACATACCATTTAAAGGTTTAAAGTTAAAGGTTTATAAAGTGCCATTTCAAGGACTTTCATTTTATGACTAACTAGATGTGTGTACCTTTTTGTATTAGTAAAACTCTACTTTAAATTCAATTTTTAATTAAATGTATATTTTGGTTTCAAGAACGAAATATGTCCTTACTAAAAAGGATCCTTAGCTCTCCTCAGCCCAAAGATGCAACTCAAACTGGGGTTGCAGTCGACTCGACTCGACTCAACTCTGGTCCTCTGGTTCTGGGCTGTCGAATTCCATGAATTATGATTTTTGATTGAAGTTGAGTTATTGCAATTCAATTTATTATAAATGCGGTTGCCACGAACCTTGCCGGGCCCACCCCTCGACCTTTCGCCGTTCCTCCTCCCTTGGTCCTATGGTCCTTGGACTGGCATCGCCTGCTCAGGACATTGAACTATGAGTTCTTGGCGTGGCCGAATTTCTGCCATGTTTGACTCTAACCTCGGCTTCTCCGCTCTTCCCCTGCCAACTGGGTGTGTGTGCCGTTTTCGACACTTTTGCTAAATTTATTGCCGATTATTTTTACATTTCTTTTTTCAATTTTTTCCTTTTGGCTGCCACCCCTTCGGGCTGGGTAGAGAGAGATTGGTGTTGAGGTGGGAAAGTGTTCCTGGTGTCGCGGCAATTATTTTTAACATTTTTGTTGATTTTCTATTGATTATTCAATAGTTCCTTTAACGATGACATTTTTGGCTAACTGTGTTGGGCAGAGTATCGATTTAATTTTTAAGTTTTTGAGGCATACGGATTTGAATATAAACCTTAAAAAAAGAATACAAATATCTTCCAAAAATGTATATCTTTCTAACAAAATTTAGGTATTTTTGTTAGAAACAACAATGTCAGGCTCTATTTAAGTGGTCTTAGTCTCGTGGAGCTATTTATTACACTCACCAATCCATTACGTCCTGCATATGCAGCCCATCAGGGATATTAGCTATTGGTGCAAGGCTATTTATACGGCGCATAAATCAGAAATGGGGGCCAAATGGCCCGGACACTTTGCGTACGCGCTAACCATGAGTTACTCGCAATTAAGAGAAATATATTAGTCTGGCAGCTGATTTAATTATTTAACGATGAAGTCCAAGTCGCGGGCAGCAAAAGTGCTCCATAATAAAGGGGTTTGGGGACCACCAACCGGGAGCAGGACCGAGACCGGGACCGGGATGGCCGTAAACAAGCCGAACAGCAGCCGGATCCGCCTCTTCTAAGCGCCGAGACAACCGCATCACAGTCAGACAAAGGCATCACAGTCCGGCCAGGAGCTGGGTGAGTTGGGGGATGTGCAGGTTTGGGGATGTGTAAGGGTTCAGGTTTGAGTTTGGCCAAGAGTTTTCGGTGGAGGAGCGGCGGTGGAGAGCATTCTGTAATTGCACCAACGCGCATAATTCATATCAAATGACCATTTTAAAATCCTTTTATTTCGGTGCGTCGCCCTGTCTCTGTGTGCCATGGCTTCCATCTCGCCTGCTTCTTTTACACTTGAAAAAAAATATACACAAATTAAAATAATTTAAGTAATAATAATGAAGAGGTATGGACATGATAATTTTAAATTTATCTGAAGGCTAGTCTTCCCTAAAGTCTTATTCAGAGAAATATAAAAACCTTTCAATAGTTTACCTTAAAGGTATATTTTAAGGGTATATATGAATCCAAGTGCCTTAAAATTTTAAATCTTAATACATTTCTCTGAGTGCACCCCTGCCCCTCGAAATATTTGAAATAATAATTCTTCGAGATAAATTACCCAAAAACAGGTGTGTCACTGTGTGTGTGCGCTTCTCTAAATTGCCCTGATGGTGATGCCGGTCCTGCTTCTGATGCTCCTCCCCAGCATCAGCTCCGGCTCCCGCTACTCTGTATTCCTGCCCGTATTCCTGTCCCTGTCCCCATGCGAGACAATGACACAGAGCCACAACTACAACTACAACAGGCTATCACTCTGCCACTCTGCCATCCTGCAGTCCTGTTCCCATTCGGGCTGGTCCAGCCCCCGTCTCCCGGGGCACCCGCCAGAATCCCGGAATCCCAATCCCAAAGCCAGTGGCAGTGCCATTTTGCAGCCTCGTGCACTGGCCGGCAGTCGGTCAGTCGATGGCGGATGGGCTTAAGTGCTCGGCTGGCCCGCTCCGGTTCGTCCTGCGTTTGGCATTTAGCATCAGGAAATTATGCTGACGCTGCCAACTGGCCATGGGTTTGGGATTGGGAATGGTACTGCCACTGAGATTGGACCCGGGCAATCAGCGACGTCGGCAGATGTGCATGCCCATGTCCACGTTCCATGTCCTTCCTATCTGGGCCCATCTTCAGCTCCTCTATCTTCCCGTATCCGTGTGCAGCGCCTGCGCTCCTCGCACCTCCACTTGTGTCCTCATTAAACACTCGCCCCACACACACATGCCCCACTCTAATGAGTTGCAGGACCCGCACGGGGGCATATGTTGTCGTCCATTTCGGTGGCAGGGCACATCCTAGCCGCGTTCCAGTTGATAGCCACCAGCAGTAGGACCAACCCAGAGGCTCCCTGCTCGTCTCTCTCGCACTCGGATTGCTGTGTCACACATCTGGGTGCAAATTATGGCACATTTCAAATAGCACCAAGGTACACTTGCCGAAAAAAAGGGGTGAAAAGGATAATGAACTTCATATACTGGGATTAAAAATGCGCGCATGCGCAATGGTAGCAGAAATACTAAGAAATTCGTATCCCTATTATTAAGATATACAATTTTTTATTTAAGAAAATTAAAAAATTATTTTTTTTTTGTGGAAACTGGCAACTAGCACTCGAGAAATGTGTGGCAGCCAGAAAGAGAACGCGATAATCGCATAAAAGTTTACATTTATGATGCCACAGCAGCCCGGGTGCAATTCTAGGTTCGGATAGGTGCAGCCAACACCCCCATTACCCCCATCAGTGGCCGATGCCACCTCTTACAAACCCTTTGATATTGCTGGTGCAGCTGCAGGATTCCAGGAGACTCAGTCACAAACACCTCGGCCGTAAAACATTCGGCTGACGGCAGCACACAAAGACTGACGGAGACCAACGGACGGACTGAGGGACGGACATGCGGACAGACGGGCAGCTGTTTGAGAGGACCTTTTATGGGGGGCTCGGATCGGACGGTGTTCGGATTCGGGCTCGAGCTCGGTTCTCCACTGCCAGAGGGGTAAATGCGACTGCACCACCATCACCATCACTACCACCTCTACCTAGAGCCGCCCCCTTTATGCCAACGAGAACAAAAAGGCGCGAAAATCCATTCGCACATAAAATGCGCCACAGTGTGCATTATTTTAATGTCACTGATAAATCATTTTTATGTCGGTGCTAAATCAAAAGATGGACGAGCAAATGCCGTATTTCAAGCCGGGTGGTTTGGGGTAGCTGGGTGTCACACATGCACCCGGGGAAAAGGTGTGCTCTAGGTCCTGGCTCCTGGTTATGGGTTTTGGGTCCACTTCGCCGCCACTGCTGCCTGCTTCTGCTGCATTCGTCCATTAAAATGCGCTCCGGTGTGTCCAAAACACTACCAGTACCAGTAGAAACAGCAGCAGCCTTTGGGCCAGGGACTCCTGCCCGTCCGTTTATTTATTATTAACACAAAAAAGACCCCGAGGACGAATTGCAATGCTCCAACACCAGCTCCTGGTCCTGAAACGAGACTTGGAATGCGCAACTGCCCTGAGTGGCTGCCGCCTGCTCATAATTCGTTGTCCTCATTGGAGGAACAGAGCTTGCCACTGCAGAAATTCATCTGTTTGCGGTTCAAACACGTGCCGGGTCCAGAAATAATGTGCACCGGAATCTGCAAGGACTAATGGCCGCACAACATGGTATTTGACTTAGGCCCAGTCCACTGGAAAATGGTTCAAAAAAGTAGGCTAACAAAAATTGCAACTGCAGATAAGAGTAGGATTTTTCGGGGATTGATTAACTCGTTCACAACACTTTTATTTAACACTATTTTTTGCGATATTACTAAAACAACTCTATCAGTGCTTTGGCTGTCAAATTGTTGAATTTCATTAACGAACCATTTCACAATTCTTTCCAGACCGGCCAGAACTAAAACAACTAAGTTTTCCTCAAATCTTCCAAATTATCCCTGATACGTGAGTATATTACATTCAGACTGATTTTCCCATTACTTTCTTATAAATTAAGAACAGCTGCAGTCATCATGTTTCGTGCACTGTCTATCGAGCCGAAAAAAATCGAGGACCGCTCCAAGGAAGAGGTCCGTGCCAATCTGGTGGTGTTTGCCGTGACTTGTGCCCTGATCCGATTCGTTCCAATTATGGTTAGGAAAATATCATCATAGCCAGCGTTCCAGATCCAGCTATGAACTCTTGTTATATCTTGTGGGTTTCGTTAGTGTGTTAATGTCAAGAAAACAAGTACCCCAAAAGAAGAATTTATTCAAAAAAAAAAAATGTTCAAATAAAGAAGCATTAAGACAATAATTTGTATTGTATAATTCTTTGAGGGGCTCTTCAGTCAAATATTATGTTATTACTTTCCAATTTAAATAAATTGTCTGTAACTGGAGAACCTGGAGTATTATTGACCGCAAGCGTCTTCCTCAAACTTGTACAAGTGAGCTGCGGAAAATCCCCCCTCGACAGGCGATTAACTTCCACTTGACTTTGATTTGAGTCAGCACCAGGACGAGGTCCTGATCCCTCTGTTTGCCCAGCGGCTTCGACACCTTCTCCACGGCAGCTGCCTGACAAGGGGAATATAAATCAAATAAACAAACCTCATTAGCATATTATCAGCATCAAATTGTGACGCCGCCCGTCATCTTAAGTTCAAGTGAGAAATCTGTCACGAGGCATTAAATCGTCTGCCGCGGCAGACCCCAAAAGCCGCAAGGATAACGGAAGGAGCCATGGCGATGGTAGGCGGATGCGAAGGCGGAGGCGGAGGATATACCTCCTACATCAGGAGGAGATGATTTTCCCGAAATCCGGCACACATAATTATGCGTGTAAACAAGCGTGATGATAGTGCGCTGACGTGTGACGATGATGCTGACTGCCGACGACGCATTGCCCGAAAGGGTTAAGGGCTGATGACGATGCTGACTTACCTATCCGGACATTCTTGGCACCCCATCCACGACCCACTACCCAGTACCTTTCCACCCCTTTTTCAAAATACTCAACTAGTGGAAAACAAATTGCCGAAATTCCTCACGGCCTTCAGCTAGTTGTATAGTTGTTGCTCCCTTTTCCGGCTGCTGCTGATTTATTCGCGTTGTGTTGGCAACAATTAGAAAAGTTACCGCAGGATGTGCGCACACAACACCCAAGAAGGAGTGTTGTCTGCTACTGTCAGGTCCCCGTCCCCGGATTCAGGGATCTCGTAGCTGTGCGTTTTAATTTGACGAAAGACTGATGACATCTCATTAATATTCATTGCCGCTTCGGTTGCAAGGCGCTCCTGGGATTTTGTGGCCATATATCCTGTTTATGCCGGAGTTTATTCATTGCCTTCGTCCTGACTGTTGTTTCCTTGTTGTTGTTGTTCTTCTGCCCCACTCTCAAGATGGATGGTGGATTGCTCGTTGTCCTGATTCTAATGAGGCGTTAAATGTTAGGTTTTTCTTTGAATCACAAAAGGGTAAACAGGTTGAGATGTTGACTAGGTGAATTATTGGTTGGAAATCTCAGGAAGAATGTGGGGTTTTGAAGGGATTTTGAAAGTCCTTATAGGGATTAGAAAGCACTACTATAGCCAAACTACTTCATTAGCTCCGTATCTAGATAGCAACATCTACTACCCAAAATATATCAACATCTTAACGATCCTTGTCGTACCTTTTACATTAAATGTATTTAACATATTTAAATTACAACCTTGTTATCCTCTTTTGTTTGGGAGTTTATCGTCCAGCCCCACACGACCATAAGTATTTCAAATTAATGGCGACACTTCAAAATAATTATGAAGCACATGGCACCCACAAAACAGGAAGAGGATTGGACCTTTCCCCGGAAAGGACGCTGTCTGGATGTTTTGTCTGTTATGTATGTGTGCTTACCTCTGGCACTTTTAAGATGCTGCCGTGACATATTTATGAAGTTCAATTATCATAAAATGCAAATGAAATCGTCATGGCCCCGGAAAACGTCAACCTGAGCGGCCTTAGGGGAGGCTCTCTGGCCCCCCAACTCCACCTCTAAAGAGTCCTTGCCTCCAATAAAACAAACCGAAGAGACGCCTAACCCCAAGACCCGGAGACATGGCCAAAATTAAGCAATTTACTTGCGATATCCGCCAGCGAAGAGACCGCCGCCCCTTTGACCCGAGATGGAGTTGGATGCAGGGACGCCATCCTGCTGGGGCCAGGTAAACTGGGCGCGAGAAGACAACAATGTCAGTGTCAGGATGGGACATAGTCTCCCGGTTCTCGGGGCTCTACTTCAGCGGAATTTTATCTGTCGGCTGGCGCTATTAAAAGAAATTACGCTCAAAACTAAATTGCGGGCAGGGGCCAAAGGAAAAGGTGAGCGAATGTAACCAGGAGGCGATTGTTACACTCAGAATTAGAGGTTTTATTAAAAACATAATATGACTTAAGCTCCTAACCTTTCTCTAAGTTTCTGGTACAATTTTCCTAGCGGGGAAAAGCTTACATACATTTCCATATATTTCACCTTATGTTAGATATATTCTCAGTGTATCCTGGGGGTAGTGGCATTGAGGGGACCTCTTCCTGCATTGAAATGAGAAACGATTATGTTTGGGCCCGCGACCCGGGCATAAAGAAATGCCAAAGAACAAGAGGAAAACTTTTTAACTTGTTTGCCATGTTGCTATTTACAAGTCCTGTGGGACAGGACTCCCCTCCCCTCCTTTGACAATCTGCCCGATGCCGTCAGGTAACTCCATTGCCGCATTGCGCTGATGTTTGCGTTTTTCGCGCTGTTTTCCACTTTCTTTGTTTGCGGCTTCAGCATTTGTCTCTTTCGTCTCGTCTACCGCTCGTCTTCCATTTGTCGCCTCCTGGTCTGTTTGGTTTCTCAAGTTCCCCCTAATATGTTTCCGTTAGTTTTTTGGGGTTTTTTTCCAGGTTAGAGTGGGGTAGGGGGGACTGCAGATTGCCCAACCGTTATGGTAATTTAGTGACGCAATTTTGTGGAAATTGATGCTGTTGCTCCATTCTTTTGACCATGGCCTAAGGGAATTGTCTTTGTCTAATTTTCATTCAAAAAACATGCATTTTAAAAGCCATTAGGTGAAGTTTTCTTTTATTTGGTTTCGAAAGACATCAATTTTTGGCAGGTAATGGAAAACAAATAAATATAAGCAAGAATTTTTATTTTATTTAAAAAAGAAACCTTCAATGGAGTACCATTTTTCTACAGTAGCTTTGTAAACAGTGTCACCACTGACATTTATTTTTTGTTATTAACCAACACTAGTCTCTCCCAGTAGCATTCTGGCAACGGCACTGAGTTATCGAGCTTCGATAGAAAAAGTTTCAATATTTTTTCATTTTGTGTCGCATGCCCTAAAATTTGGATAAATGGAGAAAAAACAAGCTAAGAACGTCGCCTTAATCCCTGGTTGCTACTACTCGGACGTTTCAAGGTATGTATGTAGCTAAAACAGGTAAAATATTAACATACCACAATACCATTAGTCTGAATTCAATTGAAAACTTAATGTCTAAGGAAGATCAAATAGAAAATTTTAAACAATCATCCATTTTTGCATACAAACCATTTGAACACACCTCCCATGGCTTTTCGGATTTCAGCGCTTCGGAAGACTCTTCTGCAGAGGATCAAATTATCTTTGACGTGGCTTCTATACCGCTTCCCGAGGGCGAGGGCACCAAACGATTCGAAAAAGCAAAGGAATGGCGTTATGAAGGAGGCTCTTGTGGAGGCTATTTAGTTTCTACACCTCCAGAGGCAGAGCTTTCATCTGATATACATACGTTTGCTCCAGAAATCCCTGGTCGTCAGGCTGGCGCAAACATGCCTAGCCTTTCACCAATACCAGAACCAAATCTTGCATCCCCAGAGACACCCTATTTTTTAATTCCTAAAGAAGAGAGCAACGATAATACTGCAACCTATACTGACTTTGCAGAAATCTCGGAACCAAAGTTTTCTTCTAACGATCATAACCAAGACCTAGAATACCCGGAAGGTCATCCTGGACCGGAAGGTGGCATGGCAGGCATCAAGCAGGTTATTAAAACAGAGGAAAAGGGAAATGAATCCCTAGATGAAGCTGACTTTTCTGGGGAACTGCTAAGTTCTACAATGATAACCGAGGAGGAGGCTGACGTAGAAAGAACCACTGAAGAAAAACTCTCGGCTATTAGAAAAGCTGTATCCAAAGAAAAAACTGTGAATAAGCATGAAGAAAGCATTCTAGAGACTAAACGCAACCAGGACCTTGAGTCTGGTGAACTGGAAGAAACTACTTTGGAAACAGGACAACTTGAAGATAATACAAAAAAAGGTCTAGATCTAGAGGATGGGGAAGTATCCAGCGCAGAAGATAAAACTACTCGCAAATCGGTTAAGAAATCTAAAGCTAATATGCCGATTTGTAAGTTTTACATGCGAGGTGCCTGTGTTTGGAACAAAACTTGTCGTTTTCGCCATCCGGAACCTTTGCCCAATGGAAAATATCAGATGTTTGATAATAAAGTACTGCCTGTGGCCAAAGGTGTCCCAGTGACACCGAAACGAGGTGAGTTTCTAAAAAAATATATCAATGGTATGTTTAAAATAAATTTTTTCTTTTAGCCTGGAAGGGTTTTATAGAGCCAAGTGTGGACACCTACCAATCGGAAAGATTCGCAAGGCCTCTACCAATTAGTCCATCATTTTATTTTAATGACACGGGCACAGGTCCCTACTACTCATACAATCAATTGGAGATGCATGAACGAGCTCCTCTACTTCCAACACCTACTTTTATTTACATCGCTCCACCGCCACCGATTCATCATTACCCTTTTGAGATGGAGCTGCCTATGCGAAGACAGCCGGCACCTCCACTACCGTCACCGCCCAAACGTAGGTCTGTACTTAGGGAAAGACGACGCAGCAGCAGTTCGGATAGTGAGCCGGAATCGCCGCCAAGCAGCGGCTCCATTTTGGTTTCACCGCCTCGTTACCTTCATTCATCAAGGCGGTCCAGTGTGGCTCGCAAACCTTCGCCGCATCGTCGCAAGGGTCGTCCGGAACCGAAGAGACGCCGTTTCAACTCTAGTTCGAGTTCGAGTTCGCTTTCCTCATCCGAATCTGATAGCTCCACCAATTCAAGGCGAGTAAAGTCTTCAAAGGATTCCAAAAAGGGGCGATCCAATAACTCGAGTTCTCGTCATCGCGAAAGGCATCGTTCTCAGACACCAGAACCCAGTTCATCGAAGAGGGCAACACCGGGTGCTCCGAAGAAATCACGCCTGGAGGAAAATAAGTCTGAGAGTGCCAAAAAGAAACAAAGTCGTCAGGAGTATCTGCTAATGAAGCTACTAAAAGTTGAGCAGCAAATTGCTAAGAAGAAAGAGCAGAACCGCCTATTGAAAGCCATCCATAATAAGACTTAACAATATTTTTGGTAAAAATTATGCTGAAAAAAAGAAATTTCTGTTTTTAAGAACCGAGCTACGATTTTATAATTTTTTATAATTAATTTACTTTCCTTTTCCAAAATTTATTACTATATTTTTTAAAATTCATAAATGTAATCTTTTTTGAAAAACATAAATAAATGTAACATTTATAATACTTTTTATAATCTTTTACTTCTGTGATCCAATCATAGCCTCTTTTTGCCTTCAGGAATTGATAAACTCTGTAGTTGTATGTAAACACCCATGTAGCTATATCCCCACGAGGTAAACAACCAGGTGACTGCGGAGGCATAGTCATAAACCACGACGACCACGCCCAACAGAATGCACACCATGTCCATAGCCCAGGCTCACAAAAAGCATGAGCAAGTGGATGCAGTGGGAACGCATCTAGTGCCCCACCAGGGTGAGTGTGCATATAAATGGGTATGTGTTTGTGTGCAGTCTCTGCTAATATCCTTGTTAATATTATTAAACATTATTTATGGATTTGTTTAATTTGTATTTAGTAACGCTTCGCCAGCCAACTCCGGCTACGTGATTCCCAACTTCGCCACTGCCGCTTCACCAGTCTCCGGGGGAAAACTTAAGATCTGCGGTCGTCTGGCTTGCCTTTGCCGCCTCCTCTGCCAGCTGAGCCAAATGTCCGCCACATCCTCACCCACCCTGCGCCCTCGACTGTGCCTCGTCGCCGCCCTGGTGGAACAATTACATGGTTTTGCCTAATGAATTTATCTGCTCATCAGCATCTCCGCAGACCTGCATGCATGGCCATGGCCTGTGCATCGCCCAGGATACGAGTGCTTGGGGGTGAGTGGGCGGATGGGGTGAGCCGGAGAATGGGTGGTTCCCGGCTGGCATCACAGTAAATATTATGTAGATTTCCTAACTCGAATTATGTTCATTTGCCGACATTTTGCGTTTTGTTATACCACAGTGCCTCAAGAAAGTCTTCTTTATCTGGAAGTTTATGAAAAACTAGTAGTCCAAATTGTCTCCAGATGGTTGTTTATAATATAAATCTTTATACACATTTATTTATAAATCAAAACAAAGAAATAAAACTATAGTTTGTATATAATATTATTAAAGTTGTATCTATAATTTTTTAAAAATAAAGATTGTACAGTATTTCTAAGAAAATATAGTTTACTATAAAATCAAGTTATTATTCATCATCTTTACTATTTAATTCTTCCCTCAGAAGATTAATTTCATCATTCAAGTAAAGGAACATCACAATCAAGGCTATTATTATTATTTGAAGAAATACTAGCTGAAATATAATAAGAATTATTTAAAGAATAATTGATTTAATCAATTAAAAGACATACCAGACTAAAGTGTTTCATATCAAAACTCCAAATTGATTGAAATTTTAATTGGAATTTTTTGAAAAGTACAACTTTTATGTCCTTCACTAAAGAACGCATTTTCTTTGGCAAAGCACTTCTCTGAGACAAAGTCATATCTAAAGATTTCAAAAAGCTTAAACGCTGAAAGGAAATTGTATATATTAGAAATAAATAAAAGATAATATTATGTAGTTAATGTTTACCTTCTTTTCCATCATAAACTGAACAAACATTAGGCATAAATAATCACAAGCTATGCAGGCATATATGGAAGCATTTGCTGCATAGAATATTCTTTGTTTGCGTTCCTCAAAGAGGACATGCCAAGTATTTCGGTAGTAAATAAAGGAATATATACCACCCAAAAGGCAGTTGAAGTTGAGACAGAATAGGAAAATCAAGGAGTACTGTAGAGCTTTGAAAATGTAATTAAATCTAGCGCCAAGTATCTCCAATCTTCTCCGGAGGCTTTCCAGGTAATCCAGACTTGTATTACTCGTAGAAACTGTGAACGAGGTGGAAGCCAAGTTGGGTTCCTCTTTAGTCATATTAGCACTTAACACCTCTTCTATATTTTTCTGCAGATGCTCCATTTGGCCACGTGTTAACCAGGCCAAAATGGTATATAATCTCACAGAGCCCGCCAATATCCAATGGGGCATAAACAGAGCCGCGCCGATCATGGCATCCTGAAGTGGAGGCAGTTCGAATTTCATTTCGTAAGCTATATAGAACCCGAAACTGGTGAGCACTCCAAACGTAGAACCCAGCATTGCGTAGGCAATGACCTCATCTTTACAAAATCCATTATTATTTCTGGGAAGTGATTCCACCAGTGAGTTGATGGCCCCAATGGCCTTAACCGAGGAGTAAACGGCGTAGGACAACGCTTTAACTCCCACGAGCAGCTGCATCCTGGTTAATCCAAATAGGAATGGTGATACATCTTGGAGGACTTTCAAGAGCGAGGATTTTGTATCAAAGTGCTGAGCAAAACATCCCGCATAGATACAACCCAGTACAAATATGTTAACTACTCCTGGCAAGGACAAAAGGAACCTCTGCGACTTGATATCGTACCAATATATTTGATAACCGGTTAGTAGGAGAACCACATTTGTACACCTCAGTACCCGAGAGTTTTCCATTGTTTTCGACGCTTTGACAACCGAACTGACACTGACACTGATGATTCGGAGTGTGGTCATCAGAGCTTAGCTATTGGATCGATTTTGAGATTTAATCTAATCGTCGAAGCGTATACAAATTTTGTGAACTAGCGTGAAGCGATATTCAAAGTTCAAACACCACAATTATTAAAAAGTCTATTAAAAAGTTCATCGATGTGACCTTAAAAAAGGTTTTAAAGCTAGATGTTTAGTAAAAAAAAAGTTATCTACTTCTTTCGGCTAATCAAAGATAATTATTTTAAGAAATCTTAGTAAACTTTACAAGGCATACAAAGAGATCAAAAGTAAAAAAAGATATGATATTTACCCCCTGGCGTGGCAAACCAACAAGTTAAGCTTCAAATCTCTTGGCGGCTTTTCTTAAAAAGAAACTAAATCTCTATGCTTGGCTAATTAAAATGTGTATCTCTGTTCTGAAATATAAAGCGTTAATAGCACCCAAAATCAACAATAAAGAATATTTTTAGTTAACTGGAACTCATCGCCTCCACAATGTAGGTGGGCTTGTGTCAACAGGCGATAGCGTTAGATGTCGGCAACATGGAAGTCATTTCCTAGGACAGATGTCTTGTGTGGGTAGCGGTAGTGTGTGTCTTTGGAACACCACCGGCCGTGTCAACATTAGAAATTAGAAACAATTAAAAAGACAGCACCGACATTTGCCAGACTCAAATATTTGCCAATTGTGTTAAATCTCAAGAAGCCAGCTGCTGTTCTTTCATCTAGCTCGCCGTGTTGGTTTTGTGCGACGCGAAAGACAAACAACGCGTGAACCAAATTGAGATCCGCCTGGGGGGGACGATTATGACGAAATCTTGAAGTAGTTGGGGACATTTTAAGGTTTTACAGGAAACTATTCTAAGAAGCTGTATTTTCAAAACCAAAAATATTTTAGCCTTAATTCAATTAAAGCCCCTTCAAAGGTTCTACATCATTCTCCCTTCACCCTTGACCACTTTTTACCTTTTATGTTTCACGAGTGGTGGTCCAAGGGTCATAATTCAATAAATAAATGCAAGGATGACACGTGGACAGCCCGCCAACATATCGCATCGGATGCACTCAAAGCTTTGGTCCTTTGTGGGAGTTAGGAGGAGAGCTGCCCGCATGAATGAAGTAAAATTTACGGCCACTTTTTGGTTAAGAAAAGAACAACAAAGAGATCCCTCGCCAGAATGTCGAGTATCCTGCGATTATATGCAATCGGTTGTGATGGTTTGGGGCCACACGGCACAGGTACTGAGGCACTGCAAATCTATTAACGCGTTTCCAAAGGACATTTCTCCCTTGCAGGCAGGCTGCACTGCCATTTTTTCCACCGATTTCCGTCGGTTTTGATGGGGCTATTCAGTGCAGCCGCGGAGAGGGCTTATACTTTTGTGAAGCCTCGAGTATGAGGCATGTTGCATGTAAATAACACTCATGAGGGTTAGTCAAGGCAATGGAATTAAAAATTAAAAATATTAATGATAAAAGACAGCTTACATATTCTGTTGCCAAAAGAAACTAAAAATTATTATTTAGTAATTTCGAAAATTAAATTTTATTAAACCATAAACTGAGTAACCCTATCGATATTTTTTTCCATAGACTCGCTAAGCGACTTGTTTGGTCAAATTCAGCCTCTGTCTTCCCTTTGAAATGGCTTTGTTGGCCATTTGGGATGCTATATGCTCTGATGATACTGCCGAATGGTGATCCAGTTCCAGTTTCGGTTCGGACTGCACGAGTGTCCATGAAATTATGATGCATTTTTATGGATTTTCAGTGTTTTTGCTTTGGTGCAGTTTTTCCGACAAGGATTACGTTTCGTCAATGGTTCCCCCACAAGAACTGATCTGCCAGGCCGGTGGGATGAAGTGGGATGCCATTTTTTACCAGGAGCTTCCGGAGCTACGCGTGTTGGTAAATCTTTTTTTTTCGCCTGCTTTTGGCCGCTACCTCCAAACTGATTTATGCCTCTTGATGGACGACAGGATTGGGCAATGGGCAAAAGGATGCAACGAGTGCAGTCACACACAAACACACACACAACCACTATACACACAGGGAGAAAAAAAACGAACCAACGAAATTGAGGGCGAATAAAAATTTATGCATTTTCATTGATATGCAAAGCGCTGTTGCAGGCCAAAGATGAAGAAGGGAGAAGAGAAGAACTTGTGTGCGCGTTTCCGTTTCCGTTGCATTGCCAAAGGGTCGAGTGGGTGGGATGACGGGCAGTGGACGGTCAGTGGGTGGAGGCGAATTTCAGGCAGTGGAGGCTGTGCGTAGGTCGACATGTTTGGCGTATTGTCGAATTGCATAATATGCACTTTTTCATCGGCCATCCGCCAAAAATTTACAGCCCTACACACATCGATTTATTGCCTGACAATTGTCCCGAATCCTCCAGCGCCGCACAACACAATGGGAATGCCAGCGTCGATGCCCATCGTACATCGCCCATCCGAGCAGCGCCAATGGATTTGTGTCCATGTCCGTGTCCCCGGCTCGGTTATGTCCTGTTATGTCCTGGCGCCGAAACGAGCTGAGTTATGAGTGGTGAGTGCTGCTGGCGACCGATTGAATGCGATTTTCCACTGCAATTCGACTGTTTTTCTCATATTTTTTCACTATTTTTTTTTCAACGATTTTTTTGGGTAGGATTCCATCAGCGAATTTCAATAAAATTTCGAAGACACATCCTTCGTCCGTCGAACGGGCATCGCGATATGTGCGTATCCATCCATTGACGCCAATTCGTGTGAAAAATAATGTTTTTAATATTGACAAACGTGAAAAATGTGAAAACAATAATCGTAAATTTTTATTAACAACAACGGCTAGGCCAAAAACAATAACAGAAACCACAACAGGAACAAAACTGCCATTGCCAAAAAATATCTGGACAAAAAGTAATCACAATTATGGATCCACTCTTACTCATCCACTTTCAGCCTTGTTTTTGGCGGCAGTTGTACAGATTACCATAAAATGTTGCAAAAAATACAAGTAGATATATGCAGAACACCATTGTGATGATTGTTGAGGAAGTGATTAATCAGTTTTTTTGCCATATGATTTTAAACAATCATACAAAGCATTTTAATACAATTGGCCAAAATAAACTGCGATTTGGTATTCAATTTTGCTTTTTTCTGAAGGGGTTATTAAATTGAAAAATATAACAAACCTGGTTTATTAAATTAACTCTTTTCTCTTTAGCATTCAAGACATGATAATTTAAAAAAAAATTGAAAGATATCGCAATGGAAAAAATACATTGCCAGATTTTGAAGCAGATTGATAGAGAATCGGCGTAGAAACCGTTTAAGGTATTCCGCTCAAGAATCGGATAATTATTGGCAAAGATATGGCCATCGCTGGAGGCCAAATTGTGGCTGGATCCATTTTTGTACCTTTTTGAAGGGGGTCCCCCAGAAAATTTGACAAAAAATCTAAAATATTTTTTGTTCTTAGATTTTGATGCAGATTGATAGAGAATCGAGTTAGAAATCGTTTAAGGTATTCCGCTCAAGGATCGGATGATTATTGGCAAAGATATGGCAATCGCTGGAGTCCAAATTGTGGCTGGATGCATTTCTGTACTTTTTGAAGGGGATCCCCCAGAAAATTTGACAAAAAATCTAAAATATTTTTTGTTCTTAGATTTTGATGCAGATTAATAGAAAATCGTCGTAGAAATCGTTTAAGGTATTCCGCTCAAGAATCGGATGATTATTGGCAAAGATATGGCAATCGCTGGAGTCCAAATTGTGGCTGGATGCATTTCTGTACTTTTTGAAGGGGGTCCCCCAGAAAATTTGACAAAAAATCTAAAATATTTTTTGTTCTTAGATTTTGAAGCAGATTAATAGAAAATCGTCGTAGAAATCGTTTAAGGTATTCCGCTCAAGAATCGGATGATTATTGGCAAAGATATGGCAATCGCTGGAGTCCAAATTGTGGCTGGATGCATTTCTGTACTTTTTGAAGGGGTCCCCCAGAAAATTTGACAAAAAATCTAAAATATTTTTTGTTCTTAGATTTTGAAGCAGATTAATAGAAAATCGTCGTAGAAATCGTTTAAGGTATTCCGCTCAAGAATCGGATGATTATTGGCAAAGATATGGCAATCGCTGGAGTCCAAATTGTGGCTGGATGCATTTCTGTACTTTTTGAAGGGGGTCCCCCAGAAAATTTGACAAAAAATCTAAAATATTTTTTGTTCTTAGATTTTGATGCAGATTGATAGAGAATCGAGTTAGAAATCGTTTAAGGTATTCCGCTCAAGGATCGGATGATTATTGTCAAAGATATGGCAATCGCTGGAGTCCAAATTGTGGCTGGATGCATTTCTGTACTTTTCGAAGGGGACCCCCCAGAAAATTTGACAAAAAATCTAAAATATTTTTCGTTCTTAGATTTTGATGCAGATTGATAGAGAATCGAGTTAGAAATCGTTTAAGGTATTCCGCTCGAGGATCGGATGATTATTGGCAAAGATATGGCAATCACTGGAGTCCAAATTGTGCCTGGATGAAGTTCTGTACCTTTTTGAAGGGTAGTTCTACTACTTTACTTTGATAAAGCAGTGAAAGGCTAGATCAGTATGCTTATACTAAAAGTTTTGCCATAAAAAGACAGCCTGCATTATCTTCCCCAAAACCTTATTCTTCTAGGCATCAGATCTGATAAGCATCAAAGTTCGCCAAGCCGTAAAACACTCCTTCAACTTTGTGAACTCAACCCTAGAAGTGGTTTTCGAAATCCAAACAAACGAATCCAAAGAATTCCAAAGAGGTTCAGCTGGCGAATTCCTTGTGCCAAAATATGTAAAATTGCCGCAGAGTGGAATGGGATGGTCGACATCTTGCAGCACCCCTGGCCTGTTGTGTGTTGTTGTGTGAAGTGTGGCGCGGAGTCCTTCGGTGGAGATGCGCTCGCGTTCCAGGACACATCATCATCGTAAATCA